AGACCACGATTACCATCCATTGCTCTTTGAAGGTTCCATTAAAAGTACACGGCCAAGGGGATGACAAGAAAAAACTCACAGGTGAACCTAGAAGCCGAGGGGATGTTTCGGCAGCCATGGGAAGCAAGGCCAGGCAGAGCAGTGTAAGAGGAAGGGCAGATGAAGTAGAGTGTGAGGAGAAGCTGGGACAGGGGGCACAGTTTGGCCAGGAGGTTGGTTGGTAAACCTATTTTTCCTGGTAAAGTTGCGCCAGCCTTTTGGTTGTACCCATTCTCAAGATGGAGAAGCATGGAGGATCTGGTCTTAATGTCCCCAGGGTCTCTGCCCACGCCTCCACCATCTGCTAGGCACTCACCGCATTGACGGCCAGGTTGCCCCTGGCATTGATTGGCGCCAACCAGTAGAGGATGCCTGCCCCAGCAATGGCGCCCACCAGCTGGGCTGCCACGTAGAAGATAGCACGAAGCAGCGAGATTTGGTTGCCTACTAAGAGGGCCAGAGTAATGGCCGGATTGATGTGGCCACCGCTCACAGGCCCCAGAGCTTGAGCCAGGGTACCTATGGCCAGGCCAAAAGCGATGGAGATCTGCAGAATGGAGGGCAGCGCCGAGGGCCACTTGAGTGCCGACCCCAGGCCAAAGAAGACGAAGATGAGGGTGGCCAGGAACTCCGCAAACACGGCCTTGAAGAAGGCCACTGAGCACACCTCCTTCTTCATGGTGGCCTTGGGTGCCCGGTGGCAGCGGCAGCGTCGCAGGGAGGCCGTCGGGGCGGCGCTGGCAGCGGCGGGCCTCTGGCTTCGGGGCTCTGCGCGCGGTGCGGCGCCCACTCCGTGGCAGGCGGCCTGGCGCGGGCCGGGCAGGGGTGCGCTATATAGAGGGCGCGCGCCCCGCGGCGGGCAAAGCGCGGGGGGGCCGGGGGCGGCTCCCGTGCCCAGGGGCCAGCGCAGCGCGCAGGGAGCGAGCCTGGCGGGCGCGCGCTCGCCGCCCCCCGCCCCGCGCGCCCCCGACCCCCCGCCCGCACAGCGGCGGACCCGCCCGGGCCACGTGACCCACGCGGCGGTGTAGACCGGCCCGGCGGCCTGGGTCGCGCGCATCGTGCGCTCCACGCTGCTCCCGCGCCCTCCTGACCGACGTTCGTGCCGGGGCTCCCTGGGCTGCTGCCTCCCGTCGCACAGAGCTCTGGAAGTCTCTCTCGTCGGCCTTCACCCGCGGCCCGGGACGGCTGACAGTCTTTCCCTTTTCTGCTCCTTGGGCTTTTGGTCCAGCTCCTCCTTTTCCTCGCACGACCAGGGCATCATGACCCGGCTTCACCCACGGCCGGGCCAGAGTGATGCGACTCTCTGAGGACAGCGCCTCTTAGCTCCCTATCCGCCCGTGGCGGGGGCGGTCCGGCGATCGTGGGCCTCTCCCCGGTCCAGCCCGGCGGGAGCGGGGGCGTTGGGTAGGGAACACAGTGCCAGCCTGCCCTGCGCTTGGCAATCCTCGACGCCACGTGTGGCAGTGTCGGCTCTAGGCAGCAGGCTCTAGGAGACATTCTCCATGGCAGCCCTTGGGAGCCCTGGGGTGGTGAGCGATTTGGGCTTAGGGAAGAGGCCCTGAGACTGTGAAGGGTCTTGGCCTCTCTTGTTTCCGACCCAGAAGTCCCTCACTTTAGACCTCCGCTTCCTTCTCTCTTCCTCCCCAGCCAGACTCTTTAGGTCCATTTAAACCCTCATTTAGTTTTGGTCGCTCTCCAAGTCGGCTTCTAATCCCTGTTGGTCTTTCTTCCAAACGTGGCTGTCTTGGTTTCTCTCTCTCTCTCTCTCTCTCTCTCTCTCTCTCTCTCTCTCTCTCTCTCTCTCTCTCTCTCTCTTTTTTTTTTTCTGCTCCCTTCCACAGTCTCTTTGCCGTTTCGTTTTTTTCTATCCCTTTTTGTTTTCTAAGTCACCCTCTTTCTGCCTGTCTCTCTGACTTTTGGTTTCTGGTTTTTCCTTCCTTTTACAGTCAACCTGTCTATTACTGTTTCTGGCTATTCTCTATTTCACCGTTCTTAGTCTCTTAATCTGTGGGTCTTTGTTTTTGCCTGTCTCTATCTGATTTTCCTATGTCTGACTCTCACACAGTTTGTCTTTCTGGCCCCCACTCCCACCATAATCAAGTGCTTCCACATTCTAGGACTGGGTCACACATTTTTCTAATTCCCTGCTCCCTCTTGTCCCTTATCTCTCCCTTCTGGGCTTCCAGACCTCCTCTGCTGCTCCCAGCCCTCGCCAGGTTTGGTATGTGTGGAAGGAGGATAGAGGGCTTTCCAGGGGTTGGGGACAGGGCAAGGACCCACCTCAGGGCCCCCTCTGTCCTCCACCATTCATGCTTGAGCACTTTGCATTGTGCCAGCCATATAGCAAGGCTCAGGGAAGTCATCTCATGCTATGATCCATTTAAAAACCTCCCAGGGCAGTTACGTCCTAAGGTGCAGCTGGGAGAGAGAAAAGATACGCATGTCCAGCAGAGGGTGAGAGGAGGCGCCTGCAGAAAAGCAAGACCCTGGAGGAGGGACTTCAGGCCAGGTGGCAGCTAAGAGGCCAAAGAAAACAGGGTCCAAAGAAACCCTACTATTGTTTCCCATTCTGCCTGGCATTTCCTGCTGAGCGACTCCTCCCCAACGGCTCCAGTCAGGTGGACTGTTCTTTTCTCTGTAGAGTTGCAAGGCTATGCCCCCAGCAGGGCAAGGCTGCTGCAATAAGAATTTTCTTTAGGGCTTGAGGTTCAGACTGGAGAAGGGCCACAATCGCTTCAGAGACCTGGAGGCCAGACAACCCCACCCCCTCTCTGTAGCTTAGTTTGCCTTCCTTAGGCACCGCTCTCCTTTTTTAAAAAAAATTATTTATTTTTCTTCACCTTTTTTGTCCAGGCACTGACTTAGTGAATCTGTAGGGCTCACATTCTGTTTTCCCCGAGTGGGCAGAGGTCAGAGCTCCTGGTAATCCGGCCATCAAAGGGCGTTCCTGCCTGAGAATGAGAGCCTTACTCTTCCCCAGCTAACAAAGGACCGGGAAGGCTAAGAACTTGCTTTTGCTGGGAAGACAGCTCAGTGGTAGAGCCATTGCCTAGCATGTGTGGGGTCCTAAGTTCAATTCCCAGTGCTGGAGAGGAAAAAAGTTAGTTTGGGTCAAGAATGGTAGCTCACACCATTCATTCCAGTCTTTGAGAGGCAGAGACAGGCAGATCTCTGTGAGTTCACGGCCAGCCTGGTCTACAGAGTGAGTTCTAGATCAGCCAGAGACTACATAGTGAGACCCTATCTCAAAGACAAACAAACAAAAGAACTAGTTCTTGCCATTTTCTGGATTAAAATATAGGTTGGAATTGTCTCTTCTGTGCTAATTATTTAATTCCAAGCAACCCTGTGAGAAGGCCAGAACTCAGAAGTCACTTGCTCAGGCTGGCACAGTGGCCTGGGATAGAGACCACAGACTTGATCACAAGGAATGGCCTTGGTGTAACCAAAAAAGGCCCCATCTGTCAAGGTCCCCCCAAGGGCAACCGGTTCTGTTTCCAAGGATTGCATCTGAGGCCTTTTCATCTCTCTAACCATCAGGGTCACCAGGTCCCTTACTGGAGAAACAATGGGAGAGAGTTTCTGGCAAAATTATGGAGACATGGGAAGAGAAAGGAGCCTATTACCCCAGAGTCTGGATGGAGCCTCTTACCAGCCGAGAACCAAAAATTCAACACAGTTGGCAACATTTGCTTAAAGCTTTCTCCTTTCCCAACCACAAACCCCCAGTTTTCTAGCCTCTCAGGGAAGATGCCATTTACAGTAAAAAAGACTTGTGAGACGTGGTATCTCCTGGCTTTTTCTATCTCACTGGGATCCCACCCAGGACACCTCAGGAGCTCCTTTACAATCTGTTATAGAGAGGGGACTCAGACTAGCGCCAAGTCAATAATCCCAACGCAATTAACATTTGCTTAAGGCTTTCTCCTTCCCAGGTAACAATTAAACCTGTAATTTTCTAGGAATCCCATCAGAAACGCCCTTTACAGTAGAACAGCACATCCCAACCTCCTTGTGCAGCTTCCAGTCTTACTTTTTCAGACCCAAGGCCTCCCCAGAGCCACTTCCAGAGACACCCTGAAATCACACTTACTGAAGAAAACCGGTTTCTCAGCACCCCGTTGAGAGTCACCAACGTGTCCTATGGCTAGCACTCAGACACGTCACTGGCAGTCTTCACTGAGAAGCCAGTGCCCACTCTCTCAGCTGGTCCTCGTTTTTCTTCTAATAAAAGTGTCTTTTAATGAACTCCAACCCTACTTCGTGCTGGCTTCTCCTGGAGTTCTTTTCTGTGTCAGAGCCAAGGATCCGATCTGAACTAAAGATTAAGGGAACTCAGGTACTCGTGGGTGACAACGGGGCTGTGATTCCGTCCCTGCCACTGCCGCCAGAGGTACTATATTTTCGAATAGGTGCTGGAGAGATCCTTCCCTGGTTAAGAGCATTGGCTGCTCTTCCAGAGAACCTGGGTTCGGTTCCCAGAGCTCACATGGTGGCTCTCAATGGTCTGTAACCCAGTCCAAGGGATGACCTATTCTGGCCTCCATGGGCACCAAGCACATACATGGTGCACAGACATACATGCAGGCAACATGTTCATAACACATACGATAAAATAAAAGTAATAATAAGAATTGTCTTTGCCCTGCGCATTCAAGGTCCTGACCTTCCTGTTCCAAAGGATGTTCTCTATTTATCTGGGAAGAGTGTCTCCCTACCTGTGGCCGAGGGGCTAACATCTCTCAGAGAAAGGCTCTTCTCCCATCTCTCCTAATATAGGAACCTCTGGAAGGAGAAGGTTGGGGTGGAAATGTTAGGAACCTGGGACTGTCTCGGGCAAGTGGACTGAATTGATCATTTTTAAGCTGTGGGAGAGAGGAAGCATTTATTGACAAATGAGCATTTATTGTTTCCTATACGCACAACACCGTGTTGACAAGACCAAAAGGAAGAGACAGTAAGAGACTGCCTTGCCTCCGAGGGGCTTACATTCTTCCTGTGGGCGTGGCGTACCTTCAGGGCCACAGCTTGTAGACACAACGTCAAAGCAACTTTTGGAGGGATGAAGTCATTCTGCACAAAATGGGAAAGGGGGAGGATGCCACCGGGACAGTCCAGAGCTGTGTGTGTCCCCAGCTTGGGGACCTGCAAGTCTGCTCACCTGCCTCTATGCTGTGCTGTGTCTGTCTAGTTTGGGTGTGTCTGACCTCCACCTTCTTGACTGGGTGCTCTTCAAGGGCAGAAACCACCCATGAGTCCTTGTGGCATTTCCTCTGACCCACTCACCACCCACTTCAAGACCTGTCCACTACATGATGGAGACTTGGACTGGGCTGAGTGTTCTGATTTTGGTCAGGGGCTCTCAGGAAGAGATTGGGGCTTGTCTCAGTGGAAAGATGTGGGATCTTGTGTAAAACAGCCTGGGTTCAAGTCTTGGCTCTGCTGTGTATTACCTGTGTGTCTTTGGGCCAGCCTTAGGGCCTCAGTTCTAGAATCAAGTGGGAGAAGGAGCATTTGCTCTGCCTATTTCACAAGGTTGGAATGTTGAGGGGATTGTGTGGAAACAGTAAAGCCTTACATGGCTGGGGACTGTGACCCTTCCTGAACTGTTGGAAGGTCTCCATAGATGAGTTAAGACATAGGAAGTGGCCAGCCCTGGTGCTGGGACACAGAGACACGTGTCACTCTTATTCCCTGATTCTCCTATCATTTAGGCTTCAGTTTTGGGGCGGTGTGACTCAGGAAGTGGTCCAGATACATCCTTGACCTTCAAGAGGGGTGCGTTGGGGTAAGTGGAGTGGGCATGGGGTTCCTAAATCCTTTGAGCTTTCAGGGCAATGACCGAGAGGCAGCCCCAGAGGTCACTGACGCCACTCTTTGGAAGCCACGAGGTCAAGTCACTCTCAGCAGCTGTTGGAGTATGGGAGGGTCCTTCCCACAGCGTGCAAGTCCAATGAGCCTCTTCTTGCCTCCAATGAGAAGTTTGGTCAGGCAGACACAAAGGTCACAGCTATAGAGATTTTGTTTTGATCTGGTCACGTGGTGAATGGCGTGTTGGAGTGAGGCTGGTGCTGTGGACAGATGAAATCAGAAGCCTTGAGAGTGTGGAATGACCACATGGAGAAGAGGCGCCAGGCGTGAGCCTTGGATTAGTTAGTGGATGCAGAGAGAGGAAGGGTGGCAGAGGGAGAAGGTGGAAGCCAGCCAGTGCGCAGGCAATGAGGAAAGCTCAGAGCCTGGACCAGGAAGCGGCCAGCGCCAAACCTGGCTCCTTCTGTCTGGACCTTGGGGCCCCAGGGCTCCCGTTTGCTCTAACTACCAATTACACGAAGTAGAGAAAGCTAGAGGTCTGGCTTTTCTGCCTTCCCCTCCTGGAGAAGGCGGCGATAAAGAAAATGAGCCTAATAATATGTGATAATAGAATCACAGTTCACCGGGCATCTTTATATGCATAGTCTTACTTAATCCCAGTTTAATCTCATCTGAGAGCCGCTGCCCTGCTCTGGTTTAGAAGTCTGGGTTCCAGATTCTGGACCCGCCCCTGCCTGGTCCAGTCACTTCCTTCCTCTGATCCAGGAGAGCGCAGACTGCAAGGTCCACACAGTAAGCGTCAGGCTGTGAGAGCTGGCCGAGCGGAGCGTGGAGCACAGGGCAGGGAGGGAGGAAAGACAAGAGGGAACAGAGATTCCTGCGGGGGAGGGGCAACAAGTGACCGAGGGGTGTTGCTTGGTGCCTGTGGTTGCATGCCTGAGCACCTTGCCTTGCCAGCCATAGGCATGTGCTGTGTGCCAGGCTCCCGGGCTCCCTTGCGAAACCGAGTGTCTCCTTTCATGCAGTATCTAATTGCAAATCTCCCCTCTCAGGACAAAAGCTGCGGCCCGATGGATGGCTTTTGTTTTCTTTGCCCAAGTGGTAGACTAATCTTTGGGGGGGGCTCCCTGGGGAAGAGAGTCAAGCAACACCCTCTCCCCGTTGAAGAGCCCTCCCTTGGGGTAGAAAAGGAGTCCTTGGATACCCAGTCCTCCCTTCCCCAGAGGTTATGTCTAGGGGACTTGTTCTCTAGTTGACAGGCTCCTTCCAGCAATGAGTCCTGGCAAGTCTTTGGGCCGAGGACTGTTAATTTGGTAGAGTCTTCCCAGAGGGTCGAGGATGAGGTTGGAAACCAGCTCCCCACTCCTTCCTGGAACTGACTTGCTAGGAGGACTCTTCCATAGCGGAGAAAGTGGATTTATTGCAGGTGCCAGAGTGGGCGGCCAAAGCGGGAATGAGAAATCCCGGCCCTGTATCACCATGGGCATTCAGGGTCACACTCAGGCACGTGCAGACCCTGCACGTGAGGAGAGAAGCACGCGGAGATGGACGAGCACTTTTACACCTGAACAAAACCAGATACCAACCACAGGCCCCCAAGGTGGTCTCTACCCACGTTTCCCCCTGCACCAGGTGCGGGCTCTCCAGAGCTCTCCTTCTCCCGCCCGCCTGCTTTCCCTCCCCAGTGGCTTGTTTCCCCAAGTTCCTGGTTCCCTGCAAGAGGTGAGCCGGATGGTCGCTGGGGCCAAGACTTCGGGGTGGGGGTGCTGCCAGGTTCCCGGGAGAGCCCCTTCTTGAGGCTCACCGCGCTTGCGGGCGCTGGAGCAGCCACGCTGCACCGGGGGCGGACGGTGCGCCGGGGGAGGGAAGGGGCGGGCGGTCGCTGACTGCGCTGCGGTACGCTGCCGTGCGGGATGGTGCGGGGCGGGGCGCTCAGGCTTTGCTCCCACGCGGCAGGCTCTGCGGGGAGTGGAGCTCCACCGACTGCCTCCGCCGCACCTCGCGCTCCTCCCAATCAGTGTCGGGCTCTAGGCCCTTGAGCACTGCCAGGCGCTCCTGCAGGCTCTTGGCCGAGGGGAACAGCAGGTAGTTGTAGAGGAGGGAGCCCAGAATAGCGCCCACCAGGGGTCCGATCCAGAAGACCTGTGCGGGTGAGAGGAGAGGTTCTGGCACCGGCTCACCCAGCCCGCCGAAGCCCCCTGTACACTCTGCTGTCCAGGCCGCGTAGGAACCGGCCCTCGAGTGCCTCTGATACCGTCAGCATGAGCTGCCTAGGGCGACTTGTTAGTGTAGGGGGTGAGTGGGCAAATTCTTAAGCCTGCTGCCTGGCTGGGAGTCCGGATTCTACCATTTGTGTGAACTTAGACAACTCACTTTCTCGGAACCTGTTTCTTTTCTTACAAGAATGCTCACTTCGTAGAGATGGGACAATTAAACGGGCAAGGTTTGCAAAGCTCCGAGCAAAGAGCCCAGCACATACCAAGCTGTTAAGCATGAGTATCATTTACTGGGTCCTGAATGCCAGGCACTATGTTATGGAGATAAACTCGCTTAATTTTCCCCAAGAAAACCGATAAAATACTGACTGTTATCTTCATTTATAGCAAGGGACAGGGGAAGACAGTATCTTTGGCATGGCTCTGAAGGGTGGAACAAATGTTTCCCAGGGCCTCAGGACAAGTGGAGAGGGATTGAGAAGTCCACCCCTCCATCCCCCCAATCTGTTCTAGCCCCCTAGTGTCTCTCTGGGATGATTTCTAGGAATGGGGAAGTAAGGGCTTTGGCCATTACCCAGTGGTCATCAAACTTGCCCGTGACGACTGCTGGAGCCAGGGAGCGTGCTGGGTTCATGGAGCAGCCTGTGAAGTAGATCTGCAGTAGGAGGTGAGGGGGGGGTTGGTAGAGAAAAAAGGAGACTGAGAACAGGGTGAGGCAGCCTCACCTCCACCCCCTCCCAGTGTTTGGAAGCTTGGACTCAGTTTAAGGTGAACCCATGATGAAAGGGGGCATGAATGGTGTATGCCTTTCATCCCAGCACTCGGAAGGCAGAGGCAGGAGGATCTCAGTGAGTTCAAGGATAACCTGGTCTACTGAGTGAGTTTCAGGCCAGCCGAGGCTATGTAGTGAGACCCAGTCTCAAAACAAACAAACAAACAAACCAAAAAACAAAAACAAAAAACAAAGAGTAATTAATTCCTTTGGGGTGTCTGGGAGCCCCAGTCTCAGGTTATGTGTCTCCCTTGGGCATTCTGGGAAACTGTCCCTCTGGGGAGTTGTATGCGTCTATCTCTACAATGTCCCATGTGGATGTTTCTTTGGGGGACGCATATGTTTTGGTTCCTGCAGGGTGACTTACTCCAAGGAGGTGGCCCAGGGTTACAGAGAAACCAATGGAGAGAGCAGGGCTGCCCAGGTTGTCACCACGCCGCTCATCAGTGGAAGCAAAGATGCAGATCACCAGCTGCAGGGTCAGGAAAAGCTCCACGGTCACCGCCTGGCCTGCTGTCGCGTTGTTGTGGAGCTGGAGGGGGACGGTGAGTGAGTGGAGGGGAGCTGCTCACTCTGCCTGCCCCCTCTTCTGTTCCCCAGCTTCTAGCTCCACGGAAGCCCTAGGGTGAGAGCCAGAAAACTGCCCCCTCCACTCTAATTGCAACCACTACCCCTTCTGGATCCTGGTCCCGAGGCAGGGCAGGGACCCTGGACAGCCTGAGGGTGGGAGGTGGATCCCAGAACCTAACAGATATGGAGGCTGAGATTTGTGAGAGGAAAGATGTCATGATTCAGATTTGGGGGAGGGGTCTGATTGCAGAAGGAAGCTTTGGGACTGGTAACAGAACAGTCTGTTTCTCTAGGTCACCCCGACGCAATGGGATGAGCAGGGGATCAATCTTCCTGGAGTCCCATGGTCAAAGAACGTATAGTCTGGTGAGTCACCTCTGCCTTCACCTCTCTCCATTGCATTCAGAATTCTGTCCCCAGGGCTGCTCCCTGCACATCCTGTGGAGGCGCGGTGGAGGGTGGGGGGTGGGGGGTTGGGGGTTGGGGGGTAGGGAGGGTGGGGCAGGGGCTCTAGATGCTGAAGGTGGGGTGCCCATGGTCAGTGCAGCTCCTGCTGTGGGAAAGAAGAGAACTTGGGGTTGAACTAAGAGGCCCTTTCATAACCAGGCCACACCCAGTGCTGATTTCTCTCTGGGTTTGTCATCCTGTGCCCCACGCCCTGCCCTCTGAGGTTGAGCACTGCACAGGGAGGGCCGGTGACAATTCCTAAGCCCCACACACCTCCTCTAGGTCCTGAGCTCCTAGCCTCAGCTTCAAGGTTTTTCTAGGGTCTAGCCTCAAGCTCTGCTCTGCTACAGCCTCCTAGAGACAGGAAAGAGGGCTTGGAACTGCTGCTTTTGAGGCTTCTGTTTGCTGGGGGACTGTTTGCTTTGGTCTCAGTGTCCCATTCTGTATGAGGATGATAAGACCAATTCTGGAGGATCAAGGATGACAAGGGCTAGCCTCTAACCCCACTCTTGTTGGCAGTGGCTGTTCAAGGGGGACACTCGAGATGCGGGTCTGACGTCACATAGCCTGGACTATTTCTAGATGGCACTGTTTACTGCCTCCATGATTTGGGCCTGCTGAATGCCGGGTTAAAACTACAGGATCGGGAGACCTCAGAACTGAACTTACAACACTGTTCCAAGGATAAACTAGTATGTGGCCTGGCAAAGGGCAGATCCGCATGGAGGGCAACTTCCTGTGGTCCAAGCTGTCTCTTGGTGTCATCCTCAGAGAACATGAGCAGCACGGATGGCCACTGGTCTCTCACCAGCCTCCAGGTGGCCACTGGTCTCTCACCAGCCTCCAGGTGGCCACTGGTCTCTCACCAGCCTCCAGGTGGCCACTGGTCTCTCACCAGCCTCCAGGTGGCCACTGGTCTCTCACCAGCCTCCAGGTGGCCACTGGTCTCTCATCAGCCTCCAGGTGGCCACTGGTCTCTCACCAGCCTCAGGGCAAATGGGCACTATGCTGCCTTATTCCAGACAGGCAGGCTTCCCGCCACCATGCAAGATGGGTCAATGCAGAGGAACAGCCTTTGATAGTGACTGCTGGGTAGGCTGGGAGATGTTGGAAGGCAAGGGCTGGCCGCTCCCCAGGGCCTTAGTTTCCCCAGTGTCTTCCTGCTAGAAAAAGCCTGAGGTGTGCTCTCAGGAAGTTCTTCTTTGACTCTGGCTGGGTGTCTGCCTGTTGTAAAACCCATTTAATTTTTAATAGCAATAGATACATTCCATCCCTCGCTTTGGCTTCCCTAGCTTTTTTGGCTGTAGGTGTCTAGCCTCGCTGTATTCTCCAGTCTGAAGAAGAGTGTTTTCCGTCCCTCTCATAAGGAAAGTCACTCCTTCAGATGAGGCGAGTGTGTGCAGGGTCGAGGGAGCAAGTAAGTGGCAAAAAGGAAAAGGAGGCCTGATAGGTTCTTGCTTTCCTGGTTTGGGGTGGGGGTCCAGTTGTGCTGAAGGGTCCCTAGATTCCTAGGCCTGCACAGATTGGAGAGGAGAAGGACCGTGCCTCCATTTTCTCCTCTCAGAGTGTCCTGGGCACTGCGCACTACCATGGCGCGAAGGCACCATGGCTTGGCAAGCTGCAGGCTTCTGTCTGGTTCTGGTAATACTGGCATGAGCAAACTCTAGAACGTTCGCTCCACCACTTCCCTTCCCAAGTCTGTTTCTTTGTTCTTGAGACAAAGCCCAGATGGTATTATTTAGGACAATTGGTTGAGGGAGAGATTATGGGTTTTGCAGCTGAATCAGGGTTTGAGGGTTTAGCACACACCCTGCCCACCCAAGCCCACCTTCCCTTACAGAGCTGTCAGTGTTTGGCTCGTGAGGAATTATCTAGTCCTCACACAGTCAGCGCTGTGGAGAGATGTCATCCTGCTTCTCTAGATCTCTGCAAGCACACTTGGAAGTTCCCGAGGCCCCAAGGGGCTGGTATCTGTCCTAGGGTGCTGTGTCTGGCTGCACTCCACCCTAGGCCTCCTCTGGAGCACAACAGAAACCCGAGCATGCTCTCCCTTGGTGGGACTGGGTGCAAGGCCCCCAGGTGGCCAACAGGATTCTGCTCCTGGTGACTCTGGCTCTCTGCTCAGTTCTCCTGATGTAGCTGTGTTCCTAGCCTAGCTCTCTGTTTCCCCACTCAGCCTGTCCACACATCTCATCCAGCCCAAGGGTTCTCAGTGTCCGCCCCTCCCAGAAGGGGCAGAGCTTCAGGCTACTCACAGCGTTGACAGCCAGTTCCCCGCGGATTTCTACTGGAGTAATCTCATGGAGTATCGCAGCCCCGACCACAGCCCCCAGCAGCTGGGCAGCCACATAGAAGGCAGCTCGAAGGAAGGAGACATGGCAGCCCACTAGGCAGGCCACAGTCACAGCAGGGTTGATGTGGGCCCCGCTGACATGGCCCAGAGCTTGAACCAAGGTGCCAATGCCCAGGCCAAAGGCCACAGCAATCTGAAGCACAGACGGCGGGGAGCTGGCCCACTGGAGGGCTGAGCCAAGGCCAAAGAAAACGAAAAGGAGCGTGGCCAGGAATTCAGCCAACACGGCCCGGGAGAAGGCTATGGATCGGAGTTCCCACATGCTGCCCAGCCTTCTGAGCCCTGGCCAGGGGTCTGGGCCACAGGAGTGGCTTTTCCTTGCCCCTCTCTCTCTTTCTCTCCTTTCTTTCTCTGGACCTCTGTGGAGGCTGGACTTTGGGCATTTATAGGACCTTTCTATCCTGGATTTGGGCACGTGGGATAGAGGAGGTGTGTCTGCCAATACCATGTTCTCCCATGGTGGCCTTGCCCCCAGCCCTGCCCCTGCCCACCCAATGTCCTATCTTACCATCTTGGCTTCCACAGCCGACTAATGTTCTCATTAATGAACTCCAGATAAGGATTGACGTCCCCTGTTTTCCGTGTTTGTTCCCTCAGCTACCCCAGGGAGCTGCCGCAGGGCCTCCCCCCCCCCCCCCCCGCCTCCACAGTGGCCACCACCAGCACCAGTTCCTGTAGAGAAGACCATGTCCAATGGCTTTCTCACTGACTGACTGGTCAAGGAAGGGGCAGTGCCTCATCCAAAACCAACTGTGAGGAACTGTCGGAGCAGACTGGACGGTCTTCCTTCTGGAAAGGGATGGAAAACAACTGGACGGCCTGTGATAAGTTTCCAAGGCAAAAGGCCTAGGACTGGCTTTCTCACAGTCAATCACCCGTAAGTCACTATGCTACACCTTCAGCCAAAAACCCCAGCCGGAAAGCACTCCCATTGCCCGCAGCTCAGTGGCTCTGGGATCCTGGCCCCATGTGGTGCAGTCACTAGGGTCAGCTGGGGAAAATGAGGGCTTCTGTTCACCAGAGCTCACTTCTGTCTTTGAGATGTGACATTTCTGGTCTGTCTCTATAAATGAAATAATAAAACTATCTCACGGGATAGAGATTTGCACGGATACAGTGCCGGGCTCTCAGGAAGAGCTGGGGTTCCGTCAGCCTTTGCTCAGCGCTGTTTGCATTTTGAGGCAAACAGGTATCCAAATTCAGAGTCTCTGCAGCTGCAACAGATTCCAGATAACACCCGTCAGCTCAGAGCCCCCCTTGCCACAGGAAGAAGGCATTTCTGTGGCATGTATGTGGCATAGCCAGTCCAATAAGCTCAAGGAAACCCCAGCGCCTGCTAGTGACCCTCTAGTCTTGGTGTCCAGGCGAGGCCCCTGCTGTCACAGGCCTAGAAGATGGGCCTACCCCACGCCTCTTCCTTCTCTGGAGACTCAAAGGTGGAAGGGCTCAATGCATTCAGATGGCCTTCTAGATCTCCTGGCCAGCAGTAGTCTGAGGAACAGAAGTTTCGGAGGGACCGACGAGTGTAGAGTGAAGACTTTATGCTATGGTTAAAGGGGGAACCTGAGGCCAAGGGAGGGCCGGTTACTTATCCAAGTTGTCCCCGAGGATTGGGGACTGAGCTGGGACTAGAACCTAGTGTAGACTGCTTCCCATGACACCCTCCACTTCCAACTCCTGCTCTGAGCCTGTCTCCTCACCTGGATGATGGTGGCAGTGATGTTTCCCACACATCTGTTTTCAGAATGTACAAGTGCACAACAAACAGGTGTCCACATACATAACACATGCACACATGCACACACCCCACACATGATTGCAATTTCTGCCGTTCGGGAGGAAGATGAGAACGTGGGGGAGAAACCAAGACCCACCCTAATGCAGGCATGCTCCGGGGAATAGGGACCCCCCCCCCCCCGCAAGGCTTGGGCCTCAGGCAGTGCTTGCACAAGGTGTCTGGTCCCCAGGTGCTCGCTGCTCAGGGGTCCCGCCCTCCAATTCAAGGCTCTCCAGAGAAAGTCAGAGGTGAGGGTAGTAGAGCCCTATTTTGAGAAGGGTACCTGTGACTCAGTTTCCTCCTTTAGCCATAGCATACCCAGACTTGGCACACAAAAAGGGTGGAGGACCCCACCCAGGGACTGTATCTTGACTTCATCTTGAAGAAAAATACTATCTGTCTGTACTGTCTCCCTCTACATCTTCAGTCCCTGCCTGTCTCGGGGGTCCCTGAAAAGCCCTCAGGCTGAAGTTGAGCTGAAGTTGTGACAGTGGCTCCAAACTGACCTCGACCATTGGCTGTGGGACCTTCGATGTACCACACACCCTTTCTGGTCTATACCTTTCTTACGATCATGAGGGCAGCGTTCATTGGTTCACTGCCTGTGACCAGCCTAGTGTCATGACAGACCCAGAATAGATGTTTACGATGCCATCGGCTTCTGCATGGTCCATGAAACCTCACCACAGATTTGAGCAGTTTTTTCTATACCTCCATATTTTCATGGGGCTAGGGGTGTGGCTCAGCGGAAGAGCACAGGTGAAGCCCTGCGTTCCATTGCACTGAAATAACAAACAAAACACCAAGGATAGGATCAGGCAGACCATGCACTGAAATAACAAACAAAACACCAAGGATAGGATCAGGCAGACCATGGGTACGTGTGGGTCTCATTTTACAGACCAGAACATGAAGCTCACAGAGATTGGGACTTCCAGGAAGCTTCAGAATATTCTGGTTTGGACCCAAGCCATGGAGGAGGGGGAGGGCAGCCATAACCGGACTGATGCCCTGGCATTGTGCTCGGCCTTTCTTCCTGCCAGGGAGGAAGAGGGTTACTACCCCAGACCCAGCCTCCCATGTGGCCTCGGGTGCAGCAATACTCCCTGAGACCACAGTTTGTTTTTGCTTCTTTTGTTTTTGTCTGGCCCCTCCAGCTTCCTAAATTGCAGTTCCCAGAACTGAATGAGGGCATCATGACAATTTGGTCGCAGTAAAAAGTTTCTGAACTTGCAACAACCAAAAACTTAATTCAAAACCCTAAGTCTAGTGAATCAGTGTTGGTGGCGGCTCGGTTGTACACTTGTTCATGCACTTTGTGTGCACCTCCCAAGGCCAGCAACACCTTGCTTGCAGCACCTTGGTGAGATCTGAGATTGTTGTGTTGTGAATTGCAGTGTTTTTACTGTACATAGTCAGTCTTCTGTGCTTATTTATAGAAATTAATGATTTAATTATGAGAAAAAAGACTTTAGTATTTTCCTACCATCATTTTTCTGCATGTATTTTTTTTTTTTTTTTGAGACAAGGTTTCTCTGTAGCTTTGGTGCCTGTCCTGGAACTAGCTCTTGTAGACCAGGCTGGCCTCGAACTCACAGATATCCACCTGACTCTGCCTCCTGAGTGCTGGGATTAAAGGCATGCGCCACCACCGCCCGGCTACATGTATCATTTTTGAATACCTGTAGATTATATCATGTTAGAATGTTTGAGTTTAGAAAATTGCTTTTCGTGGGCTGAGGAGATGACTCAGTGGGTAAGTGCTTGTCATACATGTTCGAATTTTCACATCCGGAAGAGCATGGTAGGCCTGCCTGTAATCCCCATACCGGGAGACTGAGAAAGGGTTCCTCAGAGCAAGCCAACTTGCTAGAGTGGCCAAATTGGTGAGCTCTGGGTTCAGGGAAAGACCTACCTAATAAAGTAGAGAGAAATCAAGAAGGTATCCAATGTCAGTCTCAGAACTCTACACATGTGACTGCATGTGCACAGACACACATACACATACCACACAAACCACATACCATGTACACACACACTCAAAAAGAAAAAAAAAACTATGCTGTTTAGCTGGACATGCTATCACATATCTGTAATTCCAGTACTTGGAAGACTGAGGCAGGAGGACCAGGAGTTCAAGACCAGCTTAGGCTAAAGGACAAGTTCAGAGTTAGGCTGAACTACATGAGACTCTGTTCCAAAAAACAAAACAAACAAACAAACAACCCACATTGCACAAATAGATAAAAGATAATAAAAGTTGCTATTTGTGTTGCTGACTTCCATGAAAAGTTGCTGAATGGATTTTGACTTGTTATGAGGACAGAGTTTCCAATGATTTTTGAACTTACACTAAAGCCACTGGTTTTGTCCCACATATTTATATGAACCAATGTCTTCATATTGACCACTATAAAATCTGAATAGTAAGTACTTCTAGAAAACATTGAAGATGTACATCTTGCAGTATCAAATAGCCACAATTTAATTCTCTATGTAAGCTAAATGAGTACATTTATCTCAGTATGCAAATTTGCTTCTTTCTTTAATAAATGGTAAAATTGCCAGGTGGCACTCTTCTTTAATCCCAGAATTTAGGAGGCAGAGGCAGACAGATCTCTATGAGTTCTAAGCCAGCCTGGTTTACAGAGCGAGTTCCAGGACTACGAAGAGAAACTCTGTCTCAAAGAAACCTAAACCAAACCAAACCAAACAAACAAATGTAAAATTACATGTATATCAAAGAATATTTTAAAAGTAAATTTCTTTATAATTTCTTATTATTAAGTGTTTAAGTTTGTGCCTGTTTTATACACCTACATACCTAAGGTTGCAGAAAACTTTCTCAGACAAACAGGGACGTGAGTGGGAGACACTGAAGAAGCCTTGATCCCTCTTTCCAACCACCCACTGAACCATGGGAGGTCTAGGGAATGAGTGCCTGCTCAGCAGAGTTTGGGCAATGTGCTGTCTTGGGTGAGCAAGTAGGTACCTCACAGCCTTGAAAAGGATTTCTGATGGTTAAGCTGCTCGCAATACAACAATGACCAAGACTGCTCTTAAGCCCAGAGCACTAAACACTGCTTTCTCTCCAGCTCCAGTCCTTTTCACTCACTGGAGGGGCCTTTTCTTTCCTTAGAAATCGATTCTTCAAGCCAGAATCACTGTGTGTAGTGAAGGAGTTCCAAGATGGCCTCTCATTCAAGTTTAATGCTCCTGATTCAGTTTGGCTGGGAGAAGATGCTCTCTTTGCTTCTTTTCATCCTCCCCTCATTTGCTTCTTGCTTTTGAAGTCTCACGTAATCAAGGCTGAAAACCGAAAGAACAAAACAAAACACCCAAACAACAACAGCAACAATGTATCCAAGGCTGACCCCAGAGTCCGATCCTTCTGCCCAAGCCCACCGCCCCAAACACACGCAGCTTCTCTGCCACCTGAAGCAGTGATGTCGTACCATCTCTTCAAAAGAATTTAAAACAATTATGTATTTAGTGTGTTGGGAGTGGCGGTGTGTTATGGTGTGCATATGGGCATCGGAGGGTAACCTGTGGGAGCAGGTTCTCCCTTCTAAC